TAAATACACAGAGCGCTTTTTCAATTACAATAAAAACGGATGGCGTAGTATTTTAAGCAGTCGACTCGTCGCTTCATACTGAGCTGAGTGTTGTGAGTTCGATCCCCACATGGGACAACAGTTTGTGTGATTCACAAATTTTTGTTTTGGGTCTGGGTGTTCATTGTGTACGTTTCATGTATGTATGTTTGTAAAGTCCTACGCTATACAAGATACATATATTCATAGTGCAGGAATTGTCTGTTAAAAAGGACAGAAATAAAGGCTTACAATAAATAACGGTGTGAGCGTGTAACTTCGTTCCAGAAATTATACAGTTTTATTCACGTGTGTGTTTCTGGTATATCTGACTGGTTTAGAATAGAGCGGGGGTACTTTTTTATAGAATAAGGGGCCAAGGAGCAGATATGACACCTGATGGTAAGGACTAACGTCGCCCATGAACACCTGTAACTAACAGTTACAAGTGCGATGTCTTCGCTCTCGTCCAGAATTAAGGTGGAGGGGCGTTTGAGGCTCCGTAAACCTTACTCCATCCACGGCCTTTAATAGTCCTCTGCCGGACACGGGCCCCTCCTTAGAAAGGAGGTTTTGGTCTACAATACCACGCTGGCCAGACGGGTTGGTATAGGGTGTGTTTCAAGTTTTCCTTCTCTTTGCAGTGTAGTTGACCTGCGTAGTTTGTTCCCTTAGTCGGCTCTTACGACACCCACGGGATGAATAGGGGTGGTGACTTTCTGTATTCGTAATCCTTCACCACGCAGACCTCACTCACTCGGTTAAAAGTAACGGAAGAAATCGAAATCGGATCAGTAGTTACCGGAGATTACCCCGAACATACAAACTTCCTTTCTAAGGAGAGGCATATGTCCAGCAGTGGACTAGTAAAGGCTGTTGATGATGATAATGATTGATGATACAAATGATTGATGATATAAACTTTACCTCTTTATAATATTAGTATGGATAAAGCACCTGTTAGAATCAAAGGAAATATAACTTATATTTAATTTAGAATTAGGACAAACTAATTAATATATTATTATCAGTACTAATACGAATATTCATTTATACAAATATTTGCATTGAGCAGGACTCGAACACTTTATCATGATCAATTCGATTAATTGAAGCGATAATTAAAAAGAACGGATATAATATAAAAGTACCTTTTAAGGTTTCACAAACATGCCTCTAAGATCTTTAATTCGTTCTTACATGTAAACTTCACGCTGTGACTATTAGGAGCGGAGTAGTGATCGAAAACGCTGCTTAAATTGTCAGGATCGGCTAATATGCCTATTATGTATATTAAAATGAACACATAGTGTACCAAAAATACAACTATTATATAAAATACTCGACACCAAATATTATCAGTAGCCAAGGTTCAGATACAAAGATAATATTTTAACATTCATTATTCAAAAAGTTATTAAAGAAACATAAGCAAAAAACATTCGAGGTTCATTCCGAGAAAGTTACTTACATAAATATACAAAATGATGTTCTATGCCTGTATTATTTCGTGGGAAACAGAAAGGTATTTTACTGCGCAGAAGCTAAAAAAACTATACATAAACTAGATATTATAATTTGTACTAGTACATAATAATATTTTATCCGTGTGGTAACGGATTAAGAATGCGGAGTGTCACCACCCCTGTTCATCCCGTGGGTGTCGTTAAAGCCGACTGTGCAAACTATGCAAACACTGAAAAGAGAAGGCAATCTTGAAACAAATACTACTATCCCGTCTGGCCTGCGTGGTATACTCGTTGTAGGCCGAAACCTCCCTTCTAAGGAGAGGCTTATGTCCGGCAGTGGACTACTAAATGATGATGATTATTATAATTTGCTGATGTTACCAGCAAATTCTACCGTTAAGATTATTAATGTTTGTATTTGGTTAATAATTTCTACCAATATTAACCGTGGGAGAGCCATGCCACCGTGTAAAAAAGCCATGATAAATAAAATATATTTCTGCAAGTAAATCTTTCCAGATATTTTTACAAGTCGGACTTTACAGCTAAAAGACGCTGGCATTTCCTAAGACTCACTAACAGAAGAAACGCTGAAACAAACCAAAGAGGTGTCTTTTTTTTTAAGTCCGTGTACAATATTAAACAGAACTATGTGAGTGCAGGGTTTTAAACTTCGTTCACATAGGCTGGCTTGAGCGGGGTGATACCACCAATGATATTTTAAAATGTAAAACATTATTGGATACCACGGCCTCACAGAAAACCGGGTTTATCAAATCTTTTGTTACTTTTTAGGGTTCCGTACCTCAAAAGGTAAAAAAGGAACCCTTCTTCTTCAAGAAGAACACTTTCTTGTCCATCTGTTCGTCTGACCGTCTGTCCGTGTGTCACCACCGATTTTCTCAGGAACGGGTTAACCTAGTAAGTTGAAATTAATACCAGATACTGAGGTCTATAGTCCATATTAGGTGTATAAAAATCAAGGTCAACACGAGTCAACACGAGTGAACCTGAGTCAACACGATAAAAAGATATGGGCAAATTTCGATTTTCGCGCAAACTTGTGAGTACAAAAATTTACCATACTTTTCAACTTTTTTATTTTTCAGAATTGTCTCTTTACTTGTGCTGTAAAACCTTGCTTTTAAAATAAATTAACAGTTCTAGATCAACCAGAAGTACCCTATAGGTTTTGGGTCGAAAACCTATATGGTAGTTCCCGTTGACCTAGAATCACAAAATTTGGCAAAAAGAAACGTCTTACAGCACAAATAAAGTAATAATTCCAAAAAATAAAAAAAGTTGAAAATTAAGGCAAAATTTGGTGCTTACAAATTTTCGTGAAAATATACGTAAAATCTGGGTACGTAAAACCCTCGGCGCACGAGTTCGACTCGTACCTGACCGGTTATTACAGATTGAGTTTGGTTACTGGAGATATACCCATCATCCAAAGTTTATCTGGGGGTTTAACGCACTTGTGTCTTTTTTTTTAAGTATCCATGGACAGCACTTACCATCATCGTGATTTATAATAGAATTAATATAATTTTAATAGTCAAATATTACACATTGTCGTTAAATAATCGTAGGTACAATACATTTCTTAAGCGAACTTATTTTTGGATGTGAGATTATTACGATTATTATTTACATTACTCAAACGCCTACTAATATTTTGTATTCATTTTTTTTTGTCAAAAACTCTTTTATTAATGTTATTCGGTTAGATCGGCAAACATAACATTAGAAGAATAAGGATATTCTTACATTTTATCCGATTACTAATCAATACGATACCTTCTAAATATTCATTTGATACATTATTGTATTGAGATTATTAGGTTATAATTATCTTAAGGGTTCGAAGCTAAGTGGTAAACGAATAGGTTAACACATTGCAAAGGTAAGCAATACTGGCCAGGTCCTGGATGGTGACCCTTATTAACACATTGAGATCCCTCCGTGCCTTGAAGAGCACGTTACAAAGGGTCCCGGTTACCATATGAATATCTGAGGCAATCGTTACGGGTAGTTGTAACCCTAAAAAGTCCTACTACAGTATTTCTACAGATTTTCGATATTGCGTAGTACTTGGGCCGTGGAGGTCTGATGGCGGTCGCTCCGCTGAAAAAATCGAAGTTAAGTCGTATGATAGTAGACTTGAAGCCGACCTCAACCTAGTTTGGAAATAATGTTTGGAGGAAGACTTGGTTATTTTTAGCGATACGTTCCTTGAAATACTTTCATTCAAACAGTATTATATCATACACATACGAGTACCTACAATGAATCACAAATTAAAAAAGGAGTCTTTTTATCAATGTCTTTGTTACAATACCAGACCAAGTCTAATTTATTAAAAGACCAAGTCTAATTATTCGAGAGCGAGTTGAAGTGAAATAAACTAACACCACGCCTTCAGGGTTTCATACACGCTCGCCCGTTACGGGTGTATAACCTCACACACGGCAGTCTGATCCCAAACTAAGCCGAGCCTATCCTATGGTAACCAGACTGCTGATAAACATGCTTATATATTTCTAAATACATACATATAGATAAATTGCACCCCGACATAGAACAAATGATCATGCTCATCACACAATTATTTGTCCTGTGTGCGAATCGAACCCACCACCTCTGGCTTAGCAGTCGAGATCACTAACCACTCGATCAACAGGCCCGACAAAGTTATGTCCAAATTGCGATTTTTTGATAAAAGTAAATATTTTTATTTCTCCTTCGAGTCAATCTGTTATTAATATATAGGTTTGCTGAACATTCCGCCCTTAGCTGTCCGCGTCCAAAAACTTTTCGGACTTTTGTAGGGCCTGTCTTACCAGATGGTGTTATGTAATATTCATCGGTCTTATAACCTAGGATTTCGGCTTCTAATGTTTTTACACAAAAGTGTATTTATATTAAGCTTGATTGAACTGCATAATTAAATAAAACTGACACGTTTTTGTGGAAGATCCTTTAAGTAAGTAATTATTCATTTTATAAAAGACTAGCGATCCGCCGCGGTGCAATGTATCTACAAGGCGCCCAGTGCGAAGTGGTGTACAAATGTGGAGTATTATGATAGGACTATACTACATTCCTGTACAGGACATCTTTATTTGCATTATTTATAGGTCCGCTTCGATCCTGCCCGTCGCTGCCACCCGTGGTGTACGTATGGCTTGAACCGACGACACCGGCCGCTTTGCCCCCGAATTTTAAACCACTAATATCTTCTAAATTATTAATTTTAATGATGTGCTGTACAGAGTTATTTTAATCTACATTAAATGCAAAACGTATCGTATTCAAATGGATAAGGAATAATAATGTATTATTTAAAATAGCAAAGTAAATAACCCATTATTTTTTTGTAATATTAAACGATAAAAATGGTTACTGTGGGCTAACCTTAATAGACATTTAATATACGAGACTTTTGTGTAATTTACTGATAGCCAATTGATATCCCAGTTCAGATAATTTACCATGTACAATTCTTTCCAGATTTGGATAAGCAGTTCTCGGCACACCCCGAGAATACGACGGCATGGATCGGCCAGCCTTACGTGCTGAGTTGTGATATCAACTCGGGGCCAGCTGCCACCGTCTCCTGGCAGAAGGATGGTGATGCCCTGCCAAATAATAATAGGTAAGTAATTACTGCACCTTAAGATATAACGTAGTCAAGAACGGCAAATCTGTGGTTGCGGGCGCGTAAGATCTTAAAGAGTTTCCTTAATTTTTTATTTACCTATGGAAACCCAGGTCACTGCCATAGGTTTTTGGTAAGGCAGTTGGGCGGTATCTACCCAAATTGCTATGGTAATGTGCAATTACTCCTAATCCGTGTGGTGAGGGATTAAGAAAACAGAGTGTCACCACCCCTATTCATCCCGTGGGTGTCGTAAGAGGCGACTAAGGGAGCAAAATACGCAGGACAACAGCACCGCAGAGAGAAGGAAAACTTGACACAAACCCTATACCAACCCGTCTGGCCAGCGTGGTGTAGTAGGCCAAAACCTCCTTTCTAAGGAGAGGCCTATGTCCAGCAGTGGACTAGTAAAGGCTGTTGATGATGATTGATGACTCCTAATCCTTGTGGGATTTGTGGATAATAGTACTATTTTTAGGGAGCAGCATTAGCACTCAACCAGCGTCACTAGCAGTTCCACCATAATTACAATCTATAATGTTAATGCTGCTTTTGAAAATATAAATAATCATACTTTTAGAGAATAAAAGTTAAGGTTAATTTGAAATTACTAATAATCAAATAAAACATTTTGCTCTTACACTGTGATTTTTGTTTCAGATATCATGTGCTGAAGAATCAGCTATTAATCCTGGACGTGCAGAAAGAAGATGCTGGGTTATACAGGTGCGAGAAATAGTTTTAATTTATAATTATTTTGTCTTATTCATATTCTGAAGATTCTGGAGGAATTAGGTATTGAACCGTGGGACAGCCTTGGGGTAAAATCACGACAGAAAACCGGTTCCAAGCTTTTCACTTATTACGTTGCCTTGGGGTAAAATCACGACATAAATCCGGTTCCAAGCTTGTAGCCGCTTTTCTTCTCAGGCGGACTACTCACCGGCTGACCCAGTGGAGAGATCTATGAGATTACCTCAGGGCGCCTTCTAAGAGAAAAGAAGTGTGTGCGTGTGGGAAACCTACGGGACTCTTTAGAGGAAAACAACTTACACCTCAGTCATACATACATGTATATTTCAAAACAAAATTAAATTTACAATAAAAAAAAATCAGAGGGTATAAAAAAAACCGCAGCGGAGCGCGTCAGAGCCGAGCTGATGGTGCTCGGTGCCTCCTCGTCGTCCCTCCAGGAGGTTACTTCCTCTTCCGCCCGAGTCAGCTATTTATATTGGATATGGATAAAAGTTTAACAAATTTGTAATTATAAGTTTAAGTACGTAACTCTTGGGTACGGCTGTCCGCTTGCGTCGTGAGCCGCGCAATCACCAGCCTTGCCAGAGGGTACCAAGAAACTTGAGTCTGTACCAGAAGGCCACAAAAGAGCAAGCACGCCGTCTGAGACTGACCGTCTTGAGCCCGAAATCTGGGACCCTACGAATGGATTAGCACTCATATAAATTAAACAGGTTCCAGAAACAAATAGGTTTAAGAAGAATTGAGAGAATACTTACCACATTAGTGGGTAGATTATAACAGACTACATATTACGAAATTCAAATTACACGACAATCAAAACACTATTTAAGGTTGGAAGACACGAGATAGCAGAGTGTCTCCCGTGGCAGAAAGCCGGACCTATATATCCTCGGTTCAGGAATCTTCCAGAAGTTAACCCCTCCTCATCATTTCACTTTGACATTTACATTGAGAAAGAAAACAACGCTAACAAAATCAAAAGTAACTTGCTTTCCACCATAGCTGAACACTCTCAACACCTACACAATTTGACATGACAGAATAACAAAACAGATTAAAAAAGGAAGTCTTTTTATCAATCTATTATGTCTCAAACAAGCGCCATCTAGTGGACCGAAAGTGAACGAAAAAGATCAATACCGCAGCTACAAACTACTTTAGATAAATCAACAACAAAGCGATGCGGCCAAACAGGTGCCGCTTTTATCAATATCGTACGTATCACAAATGCACAAAAAAAATAACTGTTACAAGCTTTTCACTTTTCACGTTGCCTTGTGGTAAAATCACGACTGAATTCCGGTTCCAAGCTTTTCACTTTTCGTTGCATTTCACCAAGGGAATGAAGAAGGGCGGTTACTTAAGAGCAGGCAATACATCTAAGTTGCAGGTGTCCATCGATCGCGGCAGTCACTCACAACCAGAAGATTCGTCTACTCGTTGTATAATAAACCATAAATAAGAAATAATTAATAACAATATATATAAGAAAAATTAAAAACACACGTACACACAGTAAAAAGAATTCCTCCTGACTTCAACTTTAGACCATCACTAAGCCAGACCCGTTACACTCCTCAAAGCAAAATCCTCGAGCCCGTATTGCACTATCGACCTGGTGATTCCATCCTTACCTAAATTTAATTGCAATACGATATTTAAAAAACTCGTCTGGCTCTCTGGAAAGGAATAATCTTTAGGAAAGGAATTATTCTTTTTTTTCAATTCGAAGTAGCAGTTCCTAAGATTAGCGCGTTCAATCAAACAAACAAACTCTTCAGCTCTATAATATTAGTATACATATATTAACTTTCAGTTCTTGTCTTGGTAGGCCAAAACCTCCTTTCTCAGGAGAGGCCTATGTCCAGCAGTGGACTATTAAAGGCTGTTGATGATGAGGATGTTGCGATTAAAATCTAAGATTTATTTACACATGCTCCTGAGGGTGGTAGCATAATTATAAATAGTCTATACCCTTCCTCAATAACAAGACGTTTTTCAAATCTGGCTGATAGTAACAGAGATCATCGGTTTCAACATAAAACACAAGAAAGCTTTATTGCACTAGTAAAACTCAAAAAATAATACCAGAAGACAATTGTCCGTTCGGCTTTTTAAGAATATTTCGCAAGCATAATCACATCAACAGCCTTTAGTAATCTACTGCTGGACATAAGCTTCTCCTTAGGAGGTTTTGGCCTACTATACCACGCTGGCCAGACGGGTTGGTATAGGGTTTGTGTCAAGTTTTCCTTCTCTCTGCAGTGCTGTTGTTCTGCGTAGTTTTCTCCCTTAGTCGGCTCTTACGATACCCACGGGATGAATAGGGGTGGTGACACTCTGTATTCTTAATCCGTCACCACACGGACCAATACAAGCAAGCATAATACTTAAAGTTTATTAAGCAAAAGAACAACAAGTGGAGAACATTGCACAAGTGCAGTCAGGGTTTTATGTCTATTAAAATGTATAGCAAAAGCTGGTCTGTTAGATGTTCAAGCTTAGTGTGTGCATACCACTGAGCTGCGCTTTTCCCGTAATCGCTTATTATTGCTATCTCTCTGATAGTTTTTTTTTTATTAAGGTTTTTATAAAGGGCAACCAAAATTACTAGTATTCCCGTTAATCCCTCCCGCTAAGCTAAATTGCTTGTGTTAGGAGTGGGTTCACGTCGGTAGTGTACCACGACACGACCACTTGATCGCAAGTCCAATGCCTTAACCTCTAGGCTACCGCCGCTTGATCGCGCTAGCCGCGTAGCTTCCCACGAGTTTTACTGTACTGTGACGTCACAATATGCTCGAATGCCAATGAACTATAAACCTTACACATACATAACTAAGGATTATTTTCCGGCGAATTGGGTAGATGACAGTAGAGGCAGTATTTTTTACAATATGTCAAAGTAATAGGTAGATTTGGTAAATGTTCTATTCATGTAGAATTGCTTGCCTTGACTGATCAACTGATTCGTCAACGCAGAGCCTAACCCACTAAGGCTCTAAACTTAAAATCTTGCCAGCTGATGCTTATTATGTTGAAGGCATCCTCTAAAAAAGGATTATTGGAAATGTCACCCCTAGGGGGTAAATAATGAACAGTTCTTTCAAAATCAAATTTAGAAACACGAAAAACTCAATTGATTAATACAATACCTTAAAGATACTTTGGTTCAGATTTTCGACAGCTGTTAGTTTATACAAATATTCCCCTGAAAGTTTACTTAATAATGACTATTTCCTCTCCAGGTGTAAAGCAACAAACTCATACGCCAATAGAACAAGGATAAGTCATGGGGGGAGACTTCAGGTCGAATACTACTCTGGTTTCGACCACGTTGAGCCTTCCATGTTACCTATACAGCAGGACAGTATCATCACCGCTAAGAAAAGGGACACTGTGATTCTAGCTTGTCCTGTGACAGGATTTCCTAAGCCTACGGTAAGTCGAGACACAGTTTTTTTTATTTTTTTTCATCCAGTCTCTAAGAATTTTCATAGTTTAAAATGGATGGTAGCTCTTCACATCATCACATCAACAGCCTTTACTAGTACTCTGCTGGACATAAGCCTCTCCTTAGAAAGGAGGTTTTGGCCTACTATACCACGTTGGCCAGACGGGTTGGTATAGGGTTTGTTTCAAGATTTCCTTCTCTCTGCAGTGCTGGTGTTCTGCGTAGTTTTTTTCCCTTAGTCGGCTCTTCCGACAACCACGGTATGAATAGCTCTTGAATATGTGTTATTGAATTATCAAATCTCTTCCATTGTTTATGACAGGCGTTGTCAGGTGTCAGAATCTATCTTCATTTTTTATATGCATTTAAGACTACGATTCTCAATTATTTATTTAGTCTCTACATGTCTAAGAAATATCTTTGGATCAGCCATAGCTTTATATAAAGAACTTTAATGGCTTGTCTTCCGGATGTATGACATTGGTGCATTGTGGTAACTCCACAAAGCAATTAATCAAGTGTTGAAAAATTCTTCGAAATCATAAAATTTAGGAATTGCATTTTTTATCGAATTTGGGAATAGACGGGGGCGCAAGACTGTAAAACCTATATAGCTCCCAATTTTTTTTTTTCTAAATTTAGTTATAATATTAATATGTATTCACTTTATATATACGTATATAAGACACTTAGATTAACATAAGTTAATAAAAAAAAAGACAATTTAGGAGTTTGCTGCACTTTTAGGGTTCCGTACCTCAAAAGGAAAAAAACGGAACCTTTATATAATAATATAATATAATATATATTCTACCACATACACACAACGCCATCTAGTCCCAAACTAAGCAGAGCTTGTACTATGGGTACTAGACAACTGATATAAATACATATATACTTTTTTTTTTGTAAATACATAGAAACACCCAGACCAAATCAAACATCAAATGTTCATGCACACAAATGTTTGACTTGAGCGTCAATCGAACCCGCGACCTTCGGAATAGCAGTCCGTTACACAAACCACTACGCCATCCAGTCGTCGATTATAGGATCACTTTGTTGTCCGTCAGTCCGTCTGTCTGTCTGTATCGAGTTGGAATTAAAACTATATATTCAGGTCTACAGTCCCTTGAAGCTGTGAAAACATTAAACTTCTAAGTTGACGTAAGACAAAGATACGGCCGTTAATGCCGCAAAAAAACGCTTATTTCGACACTGTCAAGGGAATCAAAATTCATAGCTTACTTCCCGTTAACCTAGAATTATTAAATTAAGCAAGTAACATCGTCTTATACTACAAGTACAGGGAAAAATCTGAAAACTATACATTTGTAATTTAATCATAAAAACAGTACTTATTTAAAGTACGTAATCAAACTCAAACTTTCTTTATTTCATAAAATTTCCAAAATTGTTTGAAATCGTCTTCCATGTATCAATCAATCATCTAGGTACAATTTCACTTATAAAACACAATTTAAGTAACTATAGGTTTTGGAAAATGAATTTCGGGAAAAGCTCGGCAAAACAGGGAGATTCGATTCTAGAACTATTTATAATATGTTCCACAAATTTGTACGGAACACTAGGAGGGCGAGTCCGGCTCGCACTTGTCCGGATTTTTTTCAATATAACGTTACTTCGGTATACCAATGAGGTTTTCTCTTTACAGCTGATATGGCAGTTTACACCGCCAGGAGAAAGAACCGGCGAATTGGAATACGTTGGTGAGGTTCTGACGCTGCAGATTCTTGACATGTACGAAGAAGGGGTGTACTCTTGTCATGTGGAAGGACACACAAACCTGTTCAAGGTGAGATCATGCAATGTTTGTCTGAGGCTAAAGCTGCAGGTCGTTTCACCTCTTTTTTTTACCACAGCCCTTTACCACAGTCTCACAGAAAACCTGTGTTTTTCAATGAGTAAATAAAGTTAATAAAGCCCCCCCCCCCCTTATTTCTTCCCCTCTGTACTAAAAAATAACCTCTCCCTACTTTTTCCACTATTATTTCTTTTAGGAACATGTAATCTAAAAACATTTAACAGTTTTAAAATTTAGTATGATCGACTAAAATAAACTGTTTTATTTATTCCCAACTCTAACTTTAAAACTATTTTCGTTAAATAAACGTAGGTAAACAAATATTATAATTAGTGAAATTACTAACAAAATCAACAGACTAATATTCAAGATGAACTAGTCCGACAATTTCAGGGCTTTAATAGCTTTTAATCTAAGCTTAGATTCTATCCAATGAAATTTCAGTTTATATCATCGGATAAAGATTAATTATATTTCTTACCTAATATCTTAATACCTACATTTTGATATTACTTTGAATTTGATTTGATATTATTTTTTGGTTTAATAAAAAACACATTTCTTGATATGGGAAAAGCCATTGTACTCTCGACTTCTCTCGACAGAAGTGACGGTAACGGTAAGTGCGTTACCGTCACTTCTGTTGAAGTGCAAACTTCTTTAGGCGCGTTGGGCAGTTTTTGAGATGGGAAAAAACAATTGCACTTGCGACACTGTTACCGTTACCGACACCTCTGTATATAAGTATAAGTTTTTACTCCCGGAGTGCCACTGTTGTTTATTAAAGCGCTTAATAAGCAGTACTTTCGGAGCTTTTGAGTCAGGTGACCAGACCCCTAAACTCCCCCTGGGGGAGGGGGGGGGGGGGGTGGACTTCTTATCGAGTGACCCGTCAGCTCATTTACCCCTATAACAAAAACAGCAAACCCTTTAAGCCTAGGGCTCGTGATTGTTCAGCGACACTCCCGTGAAGTGCGAGTTCCAGCGTCTACCCTCAAGCATCTTTAAAATTATCCTACTCTCTCTCTCTCTTCCAGACCTTCAACGTGTCAATATCCACTCCGGTAAATATCACGGCGCCTCCGTTATCGAAGCATGCTTTCCAAGCAAGCACTGTAAGGTTCAACTGCACAGCGATCGGAAACCCAGCACCGAATGTCACTTGGTACAAAAATGGCAAACCGCTGGTGCTGGCTGGCAGGGTAAGACTTATTTTTTTAAAATTTTCTAGACATTCTTGTGATTTTCCAGAAAAAGGAATTAATCGGCTCGTTGGTCTAGTGGTGAGTCATCTTTAATGTTAGACTAGAGGTGGTGGGATTGAACCCACCGCCTAGTCAGTAAAATGTGTTTGTTACGTTTTCACGCCTAAAGTACTAAACTGATTTTATAAATTCTTAGACCAATGTAAAGCTACATTATCAGTGAGTAACATAGGCTACCTTTTACCTCAATAAGCTGGTAAATAATCTAATTGAATGATGAGATTTTTGTTTTGTGTCTAGATATAGGTACAGATTAGAAGGTATAAATTATAGTAATTTATGTAAAAAACTCACAGTAGTAAAATATGATCATCACATCCCATCATCACATCAACAGCCTTTAGTAATCCACTGCTGGACATAGGCCTCTCCTTAGAAAGGAGGTTTTGGTCCTACTATACCACGCTGGCCAGACGGGTTGGTATAGGGTTTGTGTCAAGTTTTCCTTCTCTTTGCTGTGCTTGTTGTCCTACAGAGTCCCTTAGTTGGATCTTACGACACACACATGATGAATAGGGGTGATGACACTCCGTGTTCGTATCCGTTAGACATAATAGGATGTATTAAATTTTTATTAAATTCTGTTTTAGATTGCTATGCGTCCATCAGCAGATGATGTCAAACGGATAGAACTTCTCATCAGGAGCGTCACCTCTGAAGATGCTGGTGAGTCAATCATATTTGACTGCACGGATGGCGTAGTGGTTTAAGCGGTCGCCACGCCGCTTCCTACTACGCCGAGTGTTGTGGGTTCAAACCCCACATGGGACGACACTTTGTGTGATCCACAAATTGTTGTTCTGAGTCTGGGTGTTCTTTGTGCCCGTTTTATGTATGTTGGTAAAGTCCCCCGCGACACAGGATTTATTCCTAACGCGGTGTAGTCTTTAAAAAAAAAAAAAATTTTTTTTGGACCACTGACAAGGTAAACAAGCTACTGTACATTCCAGGACACCCGGTAATAGACATATCCTCGCCATGTTATTGGTATTTTTTGTTATTGTTCTTATAATTCTACTACATGATTTTAAGCAAGGTATACAAAATATGATATAAAAAGTAAAAAAAAAAAGAATGATAGAGACACGTCTCACTATCATCGGCTGTAATACCATGTCTTAGCAGAAAACCGGTGTGTAGTGGGGGCCCAAACACGCCCCCTTGGTTCTGGAGGGGAGGTGGGAGGGAGGGGCAACGCACTTGTGACTCTTAAGTTGAAGGTGCCTAGTCCATACTCAACTATTTATTGCATAAATCGTCTTAAAAATATAAAGATGCAGAACCATTATAGACCCTATAGACACGGTAATTCTGTACAAGGTCATGTGTTGGAGAGACCCTACGTGGCTTAAGCTGGATAAAATTACATTAACTGACTTGTATCCCGCCAGGTATATACCAATGCTTCGCCCACAACGACCACTCGATCGCATCAGCGTGGGCAGTTCTCAACGTGACCGGCTCTACGGTATCTTCCCCCCGTGGAGTCAAATGCTGGCCGCTAGGAGCCCAACGTGTGCTCGTCAGCTGGCCTAAGATCAACAATACCGTTGCTTACACTGTCGAGTATACTAAACCTGGTAAGGTTTTACAACTTAAGTATTGTTTCCATACTGCTGAATTGCTCCGTGTGGTGACGGATAAAGAATACGGAGTGTCACTACCTCTATTCATCCCGTGGGTGTCGTAAGAGCCGACTAAGGGAGCAAACTACGCAGAACAACAGCACTGCAAAGAGAAGGAAAACTTGAAAAACCCTGTACCAACCCGTCTGGCCAGCGTGGTACAGTAGGCCAAAGCCTTCTTTCTAAGGAGAGGCCTATGTCCAGCAGTGGATTATTAAAGGCTTCAGGAAGTTCATGAGTTCAATTTGGAAGTTAATTAGTGTCTGCTAGCCGTTTACCAAAAATAATTCTAAATCTTGCTTATACTATGGGAACACTTCATTAAAAAGTAGTCGGATGTCAGCTACTTAAATACCTAATTTTATCAAAACTGGTCAAGCCGTTCGAGGAACAAGTAACATACATACAAATATACATACTCACAAACATTCGCCTTTATGATATTAGTGTGATTTTGTGGCATAGTTTAGGAATTTTCTAAAATAAATATTTTATTTCAGTATGACTTATTAAATAAAAAAGAGGTAGTTTTCAATTTAATGAATGTTTTTTTATTGTTGTATTTTATGTGATGTTTTGGCAATTTGTAAAAATACTTCAATCATCCCCTCTAAGGGTAAAAATTGAAGAATGGAGGATACAGTTTTTTTTATAATTTATCATGCTCTCACTTACGTACATTAAAGATGATAATATTGTTGTACTCGTAACAAATTTTGTAAAAATATGTATTAAAAATTCCCGTATTCATCCCGTGGGTGTCGTAAGAGACGACTAAGGGTAGGTACAAACTACGCAGGACAACAGCACTGTAAAGAGAAGGAAAACTTGACACAAACCCTATACCAACCCGTCTGGCCAGCGTGGTATAGTAGGTCAAATCCTCCTTGCTAAGGAGAGGCTTATGTCCATCAATGGACTATTAAAGGCTGTTGATGATGATGATGATGACAGAATAAAGAACATTTTTAATAGGTCTCATGAAGGTTTTACGAACTTCTTTTATAGGTTCTAGTTGCTTAGGTTTTAACTTACCTAATGATGATAGAAAGATAAAAAAAATCGACACAACTGTTACTTTAATGCTCGCGGTTCGATTATCTTCAAATTTTTGTATGCATGAAAATATTTATTTCCAAAAAAACATGTAATAAAGTATGTTTAGTCCACTCCCGACCCGTGGTTCAACCGCTATGTCGAACTGGTTGCACCACGTTTAAGTAAAACTATCCATGGTCTAACCGATTGTACCACGGGGCAGCAAGTTTACCCGTGGTCCAAGTGGAATTTATTAGTAGTCCAACACTAGAAATTATGTTTACCCATGGTCCAACTGGTTATACCACGGAAGTCGTCGAAGTGGGAAGTCTCGGATCGCTGGTATAAGTAAAATATTTCAATATCATTTATAAACGGTAAATGTGATTCTTCTCTAATTCTGGACGCATTCTTTGCAGGTGGCTCATCACTCAACACTCAACCCAAAAACTTGACAGAAGCAACCATAAATCTCGAAGAAGAATTGAAACCATATATATTCCAGGTAAAGATGAAGAACTAAACAGTGTTCAGAAAACTGAATGTACTTAGCTCAATAACACCGATAGTCTTCAAGATTAAACTGAAGTGTTTATAACTAGTTTTAACCGCTTTTTTTATATGGGACTAATCCCACCCACACGCCCACCACTGTAACTCCTGCACACCAGGATCCACAGCTCTCGGGAAGTCCCAGGAAGAAATTAAACTGTCTTGGAACCCACAATGAAATTAATCAGAAGAAAATTGGAGGAGTTGGAAATACAGTAAATCCACTTCCCTCCTTAGCAAAGCGGGAGACAAAATGAAGTAAAATAGGCATACACCCTTTTAAACAGGGAAGCACCACGGCCACGAAATATACCGCTTATACAAAATATAAATTAAAGTGCATATACTTTCTGCGTATACCTTTAACAGAAGTACAGATTTACTTGCAGAAATAAATATCATTTATTATATTTAATCATCAATTAAAAAAAGTTTAAACAAGCTAGAAAACTCACATTCCAATGATTTATAAATTTAAGTATTACGTGAAAATGTCTACAAAAAGCTTTAG